CAATGAAAAGTCAAGAAACATTTCTCTACACATTCCAGGGTTTCAACATTTCAAATTTTGAATGTACAGCATCTCTGATCGTGTTCTCCCTGTTTCTTGCACATTTTGACATTGACAATTGGGTGAATTGTGAATTCAGTCTTTCCTGCAATTCCTATTTCTCATTTATCTTTAGGTTTCTAAAACGTTTCTACTCTTGCTTTTTCAAAACAGACATTTTCTGGACAATCCACAGTACAGAAAAATAGATTTTAAAGGGACAAGTGCATGGGAAAGAGGAAGGAGACAGTACAAGGACCCATATACCATTAATCTCATTGCACTCAATGGCAAAAGAAAATATTTTAACATACGAAGTCAAACTGACCCCTCATCTTCTCATGTACCTATCGCTGATGTACGATAAGGAAATACCAGGAGAGAGTGAATATGAAACACAGTCCTGCATGGCATGTTTCCTACATACTGACTTTGAATAACCACAAACAGAAGCAGATGATGTTGCATCAGTAAAAGAAAAGCTAAGGGGGACAAGGTAATCATCATAAATGCAAGGATAGAAGGTGGCATCATCCTCTTTCCCCAAGTTATTCACTTTTAAATGTGATTTACAAAGGGAATCCAAACATTGACCCAAGCAGAGAAAAGAATGCCCCTTTAAAAGCAGAAAAGTAAGAGAAATATCCAATGTCAGCCAAAGTTCTCACTGAGCATCAGGAGCTCAGTGATAGGGAGAGAAAAAAAACAAAAAAAACAAAAAAACAAAACCCAGCAGCATTTTCTTCCACGAAGGTGTATTTTCAACAAGATCCCTGTGGAAGTATAATGAAGGTTGGTCAGTGTTGGAGCAGCTGTTGATGGTCTGCGATGTATCTCCCTAGAATATATAGATAATAGAAAACTCTGCTGCCACATTGATCTGGTTCAAAAGTAAATTCTGCTTTCCCTTTTGTAATAATGTTTGCACTGATAGGCAGTGTTCTTCCAGGAACCTCAAAGCATGCTTGTAATGAGAAAAAGTGCCCTAAGGAACCTTTCAGGTTGGTAAACATCATTACTAGCACTCTACAGACAGGGGGACCGAGGATATGAGAACGACTGAATAAGCCAGATTGGAAATGTTCAACGTATTTTATGAGAGTGCTCTTTGGCAATGGTGCTCCTTCATCTGTATGCACTTTCTAAAACATGTAAATATGACCAGTTTATCCCTTACTCCCAGTAAACAGGAATAATCTACAATATACTTTCTGTGAGTAAAAGAAAACACAGGAGTAATTGAGGCATGTTTTATGCTCATACACTGTCTTGCCTTGTGGTAAATTGTTTACATGTTACATCTGGAGGCACAAAAGAAGTTATACCACTTGTTTAAGGTCACCAAGTATATCTCAGTTGTCTACTGAGAAACTGTCCTGATTACATGGCAAGTTCCAATCATTTGGCTACACTGTCCCCTTTATGTTGGATTTCTGTTTAAAAGCCATGCAAATTTCCCTGTTAGCACCCTTTTCTAACAGATCATAACTACCTGCAATTTCCTACATTTTTTTTAAAGCAGATGACCATCTTACCCTCGTCCATCAAAATAGGAGTGCTCCCTCCCCCCAGAAAATTCCTGCAGAACTCAGGATGTAAATGCCACATCCAAATTCATTTCAATTTTCATCATGCAGTTAGCTTGGAAATGCATTATGACAATTTATCTTTGTGCTATTAGAGGTCAGTAACAAAATGTATTGAAATTGAGAAAAATCTAAAAATTTTGACAGATGAGGAAGCAAAAACCTACAAGAAGCTGTGGTGGAAGGGGAAAAGTCTAAAAGCACAAAGGTATAAGAACTGTTTGAATTATGTAAATCAAAGACTTGTAATTGATATTACATGTTAAAACACTTCAGTCAAATTGAAAAGGTTGAGGTAGATTCCATTAAAGGTTATTCATGTAGGCTGAAAATTTATTTTCTTAATTAGAAGTTTTTCCTCTTTGTTGCTGTGGAACAAATTTTCAGCAGTTTGGGTTTGTGCCTGCCACAACTAGAGCTTATCTCTGTTTCCTTTGTGAAGAAACACAAAAAAACCCAAGCAAACAAACAAAAAGTAAAGAAAAGTGTTCCCTGGACTCTGATTCTACCTGGACTTTTCACCGTATTCAATTTTACCACTTATTAATCTCATTGAACTGCTAACATAATTACAGTTAAACACATGAGTGTCTGAAAGTTGAAGACTTCATTTATCATGCACGCTATATATCAAATCCAAATTGCAAAGAAATCAATTAGATATTTTCCTATTAGCTTTATTGGCATAGAGATTTGTCCACAAACACTCTATGGAACTTACTGGGTCGGACTCTGACTCTAGCTAAGCTTTAACTAGCTACTGACCCTCACTGAAATGCTCTGGAACAAAAGAAACAAAAGCAGAAACTAGTACCTAGAATTGTTACATGGTTACATGCTAAAAAAAATGGTCTGCGACACTGTTTAGACAAATCCATAGAGGTAAGAGCCTCTTGCATGGCAAAACCATGTCAAGATATGGTAAGTTTGGTGCATAAATGGGATCTTAAATTACAGTACAGGAAAAAGAAGGTTTATGTAACTCTGAGATTTCCACGCTACATCATCTACAAATAGACATCTCTGTATCACCATGCTAACACTCATGTTTTCTTTCTAGTAGTTATACAGATGGCCTTACAAAATTAGATTAAGCTCCAAAAGATGTCTGCTAAAATATTCATTATTTGTGATACCATTTACAATTCTAAAACGATGATGCCATTATATCCCATTGGTATCAAGAGCAGAAAAAGCAGCCTCAAAATACTAGTGTGTTAAAAAGACATCCACCAGTGATTAACATATGAACCCTTCACTTACCTCTGTCATTACCATGTCCTGGCATTTTTTCACATATTTGCCATCTGCTTTCACAATGGTCTGCAGGAAACGCAAGTACTCCACATGACGGCCGTGGGTCTCAATGCAGTGTACGAAGTGCTGCACCACTCTTTCACTAATTTCATTACACAAAAGGTAATTATTCATGAAGATGTGCCGCATGGTTTCAGCTTCCAGGAGCTAAAGAGATTAAGATCAAAACAGCCTTGTAAGAAGAGCAGATTTGCTTGGAGATTGAAAGATTCACAGGAGTCTACATTAGAGAAGGGCACATTGGTAAAGAAAAAGGAAAAGCCCAATGTGCACCAGCCCAGAGATTAAGCAGTGATCTTGGGGCCTAGCTTTCATTTGTGATGGAATTCCGCCACACTTTCTTATGAGCATAAAATGGTCCTAAAGCGGACCTTTGTGTGCCCTAACAAAATCTGTGCCTATGTGGAAGCAAAGACATGCATATACACACACGATGCTGCTAGAGCACTCTGTAGGGACTTTAGTACGCAAGACATCTGAGACCACATTCATGCCACTCATATCAAACTTCTCACTGAGGCAACCAAGAAAGATGATTAGCTACCTCTGGCTCCCTCTATGGTTGACAGAGGTAGGCATTTCCAGCAGGCAAATCATTGCACATGAAGTCTGATCACTCTGAAAGAACATCTCTTTCCACATTAACTACAGAGGGAACCTAAGGCTATGTTTCTATGGGTGAGTAGCATAGTACAAGAGAAACAGATCTGTAGCAAGAAGGTCTGCTGCTGGGGACCCAGCATCCAGACTTCATGTCTTCTTGGGAGTTTTGCTTCAAAGTTCATCTAGTTTGGTCCCTTGGACTAAAGCTTATGAGGGTCTGGTGTGCTCCTAGAGTACACCTTTCTGTTTAGTGTCATCTGAAAGGAATCCACACCAAGTTTGCTCCACAATGTGAACAAAAGCACCATAACTGGGATGATCAGAAGATCAATTCCAAAAGAACAGAAATGCAAGTGACCCCAGGCTCTACACTTGGCACTCAAGTTAAGCATCAGTGTTGGACAGGATGGAGTCTGGGCATTAATGCCCACTGTGGTCAGCTCAGTGCCTTTCACTAACTTCACCAAAAAAACCATAAATAAAAATTAACAGAACAAATGCTTCCCAATGTATGCAGACATGAGTCTACAACCCTAAATCCACTCTTTCAAATAAAAGCGTGTTTTGCTCAGTAGATCTGCCGTTGAGCAAGGTGTCATACTATATGACTGTATCTGTAAACACACACATACATATCTACACAAAAGGACCGTGACAAAGAGATTTACAATAAAGACAACAATTTCATAGAAGATCAAATCTTAGACTAGTTGCCTCAAATGGAATCATTATCATCAAAACCCTATGGGTCTGATTCAGCTGTCGCACACGCTTCATGACAGTACCATCACAGCATCTACTACCTTGACTGTGAGTCAGTTAGGGTGAATAAGATCAGAGTCAAGCTACATGATGTGATGATGTGACACATGTTCGTAGATACTTCCAGTAAACCCCACAGATAATAATGATTTACACTTTTAAAATGACAACGTTAAAAACAATGACATAATGAGCAACAATAAGGGAGAGAAAGGAAGGACAGAGAAGAGAAGGCAGAGAGGGCATAATCTAATGAAGTTATTTATTTAGCACTGTCATTTTTCAGCAAGTCCAAATTTATTTCTAGTTATAATATCTCCTTAAAATGAAAAACTTACCCCTGGAGTTAAGAACAAGTTGAGATTTTTGTGGAGGAGAACTTGATTCTGAGGATTTCCTCGACAGAAATTCTGAAGAAAAGTGTGGGCTAGATTCATAACTTCATTCATCTTTTCATCGCTCTGCAGAGAGAAAAGACAAATGAAATCAGATGGGCATATCTAAACATACTTGTTAAGGTGAATTCAGACAGGAACAAACCAAATTTCCTGGGTCTTTAAAGGACAGGAATTCCTCCTTTGGCAAAAGAAACTGGTGTAGTTTTCTTCAGAGACCATTAGTGACTGTACCTTATTCTGAATTGACCTGACCATCAGGAGTCACAGGTAAGAGCACAAGCTCAAAGGTAAGATTTCCTCATGCACGGTTATCATTTCTTAGCTTAAAAGCACTCATTTTAAGCTTTTGAAAGCTGTAGCTTTTATATAGCTACATATTGAAACAGATGTATGTGTGCTTGTGTGTGTACACCTACATGAATATGTATGTTTATACACACTCCTACACAAATACATATCTAGTTTCATCTCTGTTTTATCTTCCTCTCATATAGTATTCTAACTATGATTTGATGAACCACCTATATGGACTGAATACAGTCCTGAATACACCTATTTTACTGAATACAGTTGAACCCAGTGTCTATATTGTAACACTAGTATATAACACTCAGGAAAACGTAGCCCAGAAGAGCTTTATCTCCTCTCAATGCTTTCTACAAGATCTAGAAAGACGTGATCTATAAAAGGCTATCTAGATCCTTCATTTGTATGTTCAATGCCAATAAATCAGTGCAAAATCACATTATCTTCTGAAAAACTTGCAAGGAACACTAGGTTAGAAGTCTCCACCACAATAAAAAATAAATTATTTCAGACTTGATCCTTGAAAGCTTTTTGCCCATCTTGTGTATCTATGGCAGCACTCACATCAGCACCTGATAGTGGAATTCAGGTACCCTGCCAGAAGCTCCATTAAATCAATACTTCTTACTGTGCAGTGACTGCAGATCTAAGGTTTGCCTGATTGAGGATTGGGATGATAGCTCAGCGACATCCAGGTACGTGAGGCTGTAAACATTAAATTCTTAACAAAACCTGTTCTATGCAGGCAGCCATATTAAACCTAGGCCTAAACCCACTATTCTTCAGGCAGAAAATGGCATCATCATCTCACATTTGTACCGTACTTGACTGAATTCAGTTAAAAAAATATTCACATTGATTTTTGGGCTACTTGAGGCCTTGCCCTTTATTGAGTTCACATTCTTTATCACTAAAATTATGAGAATAACCTTTTCATAGGGTATCTGCAGAAGGTCCAAGACTACCAGGTGGGCACCCATATTTTTCAGCAATCGCTGCTGTTGATTCCGACATTTTTTATTCTGAACACAAAGTTTGCTGAGTCGAACCAAAATCTATAAATAAACAAACAAATAAATAAGCATGGGAGGAAACAACAAAGAAGTGGTCATATCACACAAAACCAAACAAAAATATATTAATAGTTAATAAATCTAATTATCAAACAAGTATGTGAAGTAAGTTCCTTAGCAGGTATACCAACCTCTTTAACAATATTGTAGTTATTGCTTTTATTGCTGTCTATCTGGGGTTTTTTGGTCCCATCCTGTATTGGACTCAAAATATTTGATTCCTATAACAAAGAACACACAACAAGTGAAGATCTATTGCAATTTCCGCTACATGAACTAACTATATATAATAACAGTAAGTGGAGAAGTATTACAGCACTTTATAGGGAACAGCCATAACATGTAATAAAGAAAAAGACTCATTTATTCTTTATCCACTGGTCCATAAGTTCACGATCAAGCCCTTCTTTTGTTTCAAATTCCCAACATGATCTGAGGCACTTACCATCGTGTACATGCTTCTCATCCTCCTAAAAAAGAATACATCCCTAAAGGACAGCCTAGACATCCCAAGGAATTTTGATACTGTGAGAATAGGAACAATAAGTATATTTCAATAGCACCACTTGTTCCAAAAACCTCTAGTACAGCTGGAAAGATTACAAAGTCTCTGTATGTGAACATTAGAAAGTCTGGAGAAAGAGCTTAAGATGACTTCTGTAGTTGAGAGAAGTAAGGTGAAGTTCTCGGCAGAACAAGTAGCAGAGAGACATTGGAGATGTTCCTCCCATGAAGAGGATACTTGTGTGCTCATCTCTGGATGATGCAGGAAAGGGCTTAAAACCAAATGAGAACCTTATGTTAAACTGCAACACCCGGTTGTGACGCTGTATGCTCTGGGCCTTGGCTTTTAGAAATCCCCAGCTGGGTATGATAAATAAGAGAAATCAAGTCCGCAAGTAACTGCCAACACCCACGCACCTTTCCATGCATATCTCAGTCAAAACATGGAAGAACATCCACACAAATGCTGTCACTTAGAATACTGGCGGTGTTTTGTTTTGTTTTCAGCTGCCAGCTATGGGAAGCCTTTCTTAACTGGAAACACAAAGAACTGAAAGATTGGACTTTGGATGCTGAAATTAAGCATGTAGAAAAACTGCAGATCTCGAGATTGCCTCACAGTATAACCACAAGGATATAAACCAGTGTAATAGCATGAAAAAAAGAAGAAACAGGTGCACTTCTGAGTTTCACTGTGTCCTCAAACTTCCTACTGTTTTACAGAAGAAAATCAGGCTAACACACACACGTGCATGCCAGTCTGAATGTTTATACATCTTGAAACCTCTCTCTGAACTTTCTTAGCTGATGGTGAAGATGAGGGGTTCTATAAATCCCATCTGGTCTGAATTTCCAGTGGGGCAAGAACAGCTGCAGCACTTGGCCATGGAAGCTGTTTATAACAGTGTCAGCACTGCTGTTCAGCATGGTCATGTTGATCTATGCAACAACAGTGGATTTTTATTTGTTTAGGTTTGTTAGCATGCATGCTGCCTTCTCTCTAGCTGTTTGAATCAATACTTTGGAAGGTATTTCAGGCTCTTTGCTATAATTAACCACTCTCCTCCGTTCTGGGACTTTGGGTTAACCAAGATTAATTTACCTGTTACTTTTACCAGCATTCTTCCTCAATCAATGCAGTTTTATAATCCATGTGAACTATATGTCTTATCTGGAAGTACTGATCAGCATTAAACTGCTGAATCTATCCTTTCTCTTAACAAAATAAAAGCCTGTTTATTGAACCCATAAGAGCATTCCAGGGATGTACTTATCAAGAGATAATCACACCACTGGGATACCAGAGACACTCGGTTGCATATCTTGCCTCGTTAAGCCCTATGATGGACATTTTCTGTCACGCTTTTCCATAGGGGACAGGGAGTCATAGACATCACACCAAGAAAGGTTCTCTTCTGAGAACCCTACCTTTAGGAAATGATATTTTCTGAAGAAGATTATTTCCTTTATTCATAAAATTCCCAGAAAATCACTGTGCATCAGTCTTAGGATCCTTTCTTTCTAGCCCCAAAATGTAGGTCCAGACTCCAGCATTGAGTCCAAGCAGTTCCCTGCCACTGAAAGAGTCTCACGCATCTCATCAGGACAGCTGTGGACAGCACTGGGCAGTGTCACGCTGGCACAGTTTTGCCGTCTACAGGCTATATTTACTTAACCAGGGGAACAAGGGGCACTCTTGGAAGTTCCAGTTCACAATCTCCACCTATATATGACGTTTAAGATGTTTGTTCAAACATTCCCAGAACCAAAGCAAACTGCCACAGACCAGAAAAAGAAGAGAGCAAGGGAACACCAGGTGCTTGAGGGTGCTGAAAGTTTGTACAGTTTTAAACCTTGCTGAACTTTCTCAATGGATGGCAAAGATGAGAAGCTCTATAAATGCCACAGCACTACATTCCAGCTTCACTTGAGAGTCCTTCCACTAAGACTGCCTGTTTCTCCTCCTCATATCTGTGCTTCTGGTGCTATACCTCCAACATATTCTCCAGTGACAGGACAACAAAGACCACACTTTCCATAGCCTATGGTATCCATACAGACTCGTAACATCTTTACACTAGAGATAACCAAATAAACAGGCTGTATCTGCTTTTCCCTTCTCAAGCAAAGCTCAGTTGTGTGACATCAATTCCAGCGTTTCTTCCAAATCGTATATGGTGTCTAATTTATGTCTGACCTAACTCCAAGCACTCCTTCCTGAAATTCTGATCTCCAGTTCTTATCAAGAAGATCCTTCATGGGTGGATGTAAGATTCATTGTTTTTCCTGTGGAAAAATCTGGATACTTAATTTTTTCTACAAATACCATTTCTGGAGTCAAATGACTGTCAAAAAAAAAGAGGTCTCTACCCTCCTCAGAGTTATGATAGAAAGGTGGAAACAATTACCCCAAAAGGCTCAGAAGCCAAAGGGGAAAAAAAAGTGCATTTTATTTCTTTTTAAATTCTTAAGCCAATCTTGCAAAGTGCTTCAGCAAGGACGGAAACTTGGGCTTCACATAAGACTGTTCTGGAATGTAATTTAAGCCGTTGTGCACACTTTAATGTTGTTAGTGAAAAATTAAGCATAGGCAAATGAAGCATGTTCACTAGAGATCTAGAGGTTCATCCAGCTCAGTACTGAATACCTAGCATCCATTCCAAGAAAGCATGGGATCTCACAGGGATGTTTATCTGCTCGAAGCTAGCCACCTGCTTCACACATTGTAGATTATAACCGGCACCTCACCTCTTATGTCTGACTTGAGATCTCAGAGAGAGTATTCATTACTAAAATAGTTTTTCCAGGTATAAACATTTCCTGACTGTTAAAAGAATAATTTAACAGGGGAAAAAATAATGGAACAGATTCTAAGCTATTGTAACCTGGCACGGTTCTCATGGAATCACCACCAGATGATCTAACCAGTTGTGCAGATTACATATTACTGTTCTAACACAATAGTCTCTCAGATGTGCCAGAGATAATATCACGCATCTACTGAAGCACTGCTAATCCACACAGACCCATGGATGCCTCATGGGAAAAAAAAACAAACCACCACTGAAAATCTCCCGTTTAGAAACGCTTCTGCACATTGTTTTCTCCCCTCTTCCTGGAGTTTCTTCGCCATCAGGGCTTTCCATAGGAATAAAAAGGAGCTTATTATACTTTTATAATTTATTATAGCTATAAAACCTTGTAAATATCCTGCTGCAATCCTGTATCCTGTTTCCCCATTACTTTTTCCATTCATTAAATAAAGGAACATTTTCTTTCTTGCTACAGCTATGCTTGAGAAAATACGAAAACCCAGATATTTAAGCTCATAAAGTCCAGATTCCTCCCCAGTTCTGACATTTAAATTCAGCTAAGTTATATCAGAGGAAGAGTAGGACCTGCACTATCCTGAGAAATTGGGATTCTCCCTTGAAATGTTGGATTTTTCCCCGTATGAAGCCACCTAAGACCTGCTTTCCCATCTGAAAGACCAAGTGGATGTCATAGAAATATGCAAACATCTTGTCTCTTCTCAATGGCTCCTACATTTCCTGAATGCATTGGCTTCACAATGCTGTATAAACTCCACTGGCTCCCTACTAAGCTTCCTCTGGTGGCTTCCTTGTCCATTTTCTCACTACAAGGGAAGACTCTACCATGGAAGAGAATAAGGAAAGTGCTGTGTAAGAAATGGCAGTTGATCATCTCCCCAAACTTCCTCTGATGAAATGGAAAAGTGGGAATAAATACTGGTGGGAAAACCTGCTCTACCTACTGTTATGTCACAAACCTCAACCACTGCAACCCTTGCAACACTTTGCACTTTAAGATTCATACTGGAGTTATGTAATTACATGAGGACCTCAGCTTTCACTGAAAAACAGAAGTTAAAAAAAATAAATAAATAATTTTTTTTCAAAGATCAGGTCTTTCTGGTTCCAGATTCAAGTTCTAAAGTATCTCAACTTCTGGTGTGATAAGGGTCAAAAAACCCCAAAATATTATTGCGCCTACAGAATCTCAATATTCGTAGGCAAGTCTTATGTTTGGTGGAGAGTGGAATTACTTGTGTAATATTTGAAAATATGGGTTTGATTGCACTCGCCTTCCCTCCTTGCAGGAACAGATACTGTCTACTACTTCTTCTACAAGAAATCTGGAGAGGGACTTTTTACAAGGGCATGTAGTGATACAACAAGGGGGAATGGCTTTAAACTGGAAGAAGGTAGATTTATATTAGATATTGGGAAAAAACTCTTTACTCTCAGGGTACTGAGGCACTGGAACAGATTGCCCAGAGAAGCTGTGGCTGCCCCATCCCTGGCAGTGTCCAAAGCCCGAATGGGGCTTTGAGCAACCTGGTCTAGTGGAAGGTGTGCCTGCCCATGGCAGGGGGGTTGGAACTAGATGATCTTTAAGGTCCCTTCCAACCCAAACCATTCTGCGATTCTGTGATTCTGTGATTCCTTCTAGCAAGTCAGCACAACTGCCACCAACACATGATCCCTAGATTACTTCCTTGGTCACAGAGTGATGCCATGCACTGTAGCTTGTTTGCTAGTCAAGAAGGAAGGTAGCTCTGTGGCATAAGAATGCAGTTACTAAAAGCAGTGGGAGAGAATATTGAACACATTGATAAAAGAGGTTTTATCTCCTATTTTATCAACTACTAAGGGTCAGCCAGAATCCTGCACAATCTCACTTTGCTACTTTGATTAACCAGACCACAAATCTGCAGTTGTTCATTAAACTACCTATCAATATTGAAACAATTCTAACAGGAAAGTCTTTAAACCCACCTCTATTGGCTCTTCTCCCCCTTTGGTTTGGTTGTCGCCCACCTCTCCGCTCTCATAATTGCTGCTCTTTTCAACCCACAATTCTGATTTTTCTACAGTCAGACGTAGCTGATCAAGATCAGCCTTGATTTGCTTGTAGTTATCAACATCTTGATTAGACACCAGCAACTGAACCTGGAAATACAGAAAATCGTAAAGCTATTACAGTAGTAGCACCAGCACTTATGCCTGGGTAATTTGCTTGACAGTTTCAATTCTAAGCCATGCTTTATGTAACCTTCCTTATGAAAGTGAAACATGGCACACACAGCATTTTTAGCCCTCAATCATCAAGAACATTTAACAGAGCCAGAGACTGTAGCTGCCTAAAACAAGATAGTTTATAAAATTCACAAAATTCTCTCACCTTCTTTAATATACTGAAAAACATTTTCAGACCAAACAGATTTACAAGCTCTTGAGTTCTATGCAGAGCTAGTGCTGATGCACTGATTATGATCCTCATGGCATTAAAACAATACAGTTACATGGTATTAAAGAAATACAGTTAGAAATAGCTTATACCATCAGCACAGCACTTCACAAGGAAAAAAAAGAAAAAACGGTGGTATGACAAGGAATCATGATATCCAAAGAAGGGTCAGAATGGCAACTTTAATGATCACCTACATCACCATAATCAAATAGTGGAAAATAACAGATTTTAACACTGCTAGGCCAGCTTAAAAAACTTGTTTGATTATAGCTGACAGACTGGCTTTCAGGTTCATGTAATCTCCCATGGGAGTGGTTGCTTCTTACTAAGATTAATTTTTTCTTTTTTTGTACTGCTCAAATTATCTGGGGTTTTTTTTCACTGTCATTTGTAGTTCTTGACTTAACACAATCTACACATTTCCTTTCTTGGTAATGCTCTTTGCTCTATTAAGATTATTAATGAAGATAATATTCCCCAAAACCACCACCAATCTTTACTGTAAATCAATAAGCGCTATTAAGAAATCACACTTACGTAAAAGATTAAGGTCACATGGCAGACAAGAACAATGATAGGGACATTCTATTTTTTTAAAAAATCACGACATGCAGGCTAATATTCACTATTTCCTAATACAAAGTTTCCATCATCTTCTCTCTTAGCTTGGTAAATCCTTGGGATTTTACAGAATTTATAAACGCTGCTCATCCACAGACAATCATATTCCATGTTCTCTACAGGCTTTTTTTGTTATTTGCCAATTTCCATCCTTTACAAAAACATATTAAGCTACTGGGTCCTTGCTGACCTGAGAATAACAGCTATTTATGCAACTAACTGGCATGGCCTAACCTTAACAATCTGGTGGGAGGCCTTTCTACTACACTGCAAAACATTAAACAAATGCTTTCCAGGTCTTTATCATTAATCTGTTTTTAAACAAGAGAAACCTCCACATCTTGCATAACGATGAGACAACACACTATCAAACTCCTGAAATAAGCATTAGAGGGTGTTATCAACATGTGTTACAGAGGCTTACGTAAAAGAGATGTCCCTGTCACCCAGCTCCATGACATCAGATCTCCCCATCCTAATCCACTGACACATGGAGCCTGCACATGCACTGTTATCAAGCAGAAAGAATAAAAGCTGAAAACAGGCTTGGCCCCATTACTCTCATCCTGTTATTTGGGCCTATCTGTACCATGCAGTGGAGCACAATGCAAAGACACCTGAATTAGAACTAGAAACACCACACAAATAACAAGAGAGCTTTAAACCAGCCTAAGCAGCCCTGAAGACAAGAAAGCCTTATTGCTGACACCAGTGCACTGCTTGCAGAACACAAGCTACTGTCTCTGAGGGATCACTGTCTCACTGTGAGATGTGTGTGTGTCCCAGCTGCCACCATGGACCTATGTTTTCAGTAATGGATGCAATGCCAGAAATATCTATTTCTGGGTGTACAATCATAATACGCATTAGCAAATATGATCAAATGTAATCAAAACAAACCAACCAAACAAACAAACAAACCTTTCTTGAATTTGGGCCTGTAAGGAAATAATCAATGGTGATTTAGAAAAGTAAAGCCGCCTTTGGAAAAGCTTTCCCTGCAGTCAGTTTTCTGGAATAACGCTATGCCCGCCCATACCTGTTTAAATGCTTGCAAAACTTCTGCTCTCTGGCTGAAGTGCTTAAATAGCAGGTGCAAAGCACCTGAGAGCAAAGGCGGGTAGTCGTGCATGATGAGGTGAATGAGGACCCGTAAAAAAGTTCTGCCCCCTTCATCATCAAGCTGAACTGCATTCTTCTCCTTTCTGAAACAGAAATAAGGGGGAAAAAGGACCAAATTAGGTAAAATAAATAAGAAAAAATAGAAGTTTTTGACACAATCTTCATTTGAAAGAGCTCTTAAAACCCAATCAAATATGCTGCAGGAAGGAAACTATAAACATCAATTTGACATGTTTTATAAGAACTTCATTTCTACAGTTATATGCTGTTGCAGCAATCTTGTAGCGGAATGGACACTGCAGAACGAAAGTAAGTATGTATGAAACGTGTCAAATATTGTGAATAAAATCCATATTGCAAAAACCTTCATTTAAGTCTTGAATAAGTTGTCCCAAGCTCATCCCCAATCCAAATTAATTGAAGTAAACAGCATTTAATCAGAGATTAATTTGGCCCTTTCCTTTTCACTCCTTCCCTTTTCATCTGCTATTAAAATTTCATTTAAGAAAAAATAAGCTCAAAAATAGTAAGAATTGCCAAAAGCATCATATTTCTGGAATCATATTCATAATCTGGAACGGCAGAAAGCAGATTTACACTTAACATATCAAAGCAGAAATAATGTTTCCAAGAAACCATTCAGCCTCTCTGTTAATTTTAAAGATGCAGATGCCAAGGGCTGTGTGTTGTTTTACATTATGGGAGTTCAGGGAGAGGACTGGAGGCATTGCTTATGCTGGTAAAGATTGAGAATGCATAAGGGACTGAAAGAGGAAAGATCAGAGTGCCCATAGTGCAGATCCTTCTCTCTAGCTCCAAGAAAAACTTTGAAGTCTATGGCCTTGTCTAAATGGAATTCATTTTTACTGCTATAATTATAATTATACCCATAAAATTAAACCAACATAGTGATAATGGTAATAACTCTCCAGCGTGGATATTTTCTATGCTTTTTTTTTATGTTCACAGTGCAGCTGAAATGATTTCCAAAACTCTGCAAGCATAACTTGTGATCTACAGGCCCCTGGTGGTCCAGAAGATCATGGCAAGTGGTCCACAGCTGACTTGAGGAGTCATATGATGGAGATTGTTGTTGACATCAATTTCTAAACAATTTCAAACACAAGGTGCAACAACAACCAGTCATGTGGTCCGTGAGAAATACTGAAGGTCAACAGTAATCTACCGATCCAAGAAATTTGGAGCTACAGCCACAAAGAACACCAGAAAAAGGAGTTTCTTTAAACCCAGGACAAGCACCCATGTGAGGCATTATAAGATAAATAATTAGTATGTTTTAGCTCAATACGCCTGTACAATGTTCCTTGGCCGCCTTTGGAAACATGACAAAAACCTACTAACTCTCTTATAACTAAGAGGGTGGTCATCCCCAGTCCCATGGCCACCCATACCAACTGGGCTGTTTGCTTGTTTGAAATCCAGATCTCTGGCACTTTCCTGTCTAGGTACAGGTTATGTAATAAGCAGCAGCCAAAGGAAAAAAGCTGAAAATAAGCACAGAATAAAGAGAAACTGACCATGAGAAATATCAACATGAACAAACAGATATACACAGAGATGTAAAATTTCAGAGAGTGTACCTGCCAGCAAACATGGTCTCAGCCTGAGCTGCAATTTCATCTATATCTGGAACAATTGCTGGAAAAAAATAAAAAGCAAAAAATAAAGAAGCAAAAAGCCAGTGACACTGTTTAATCTACACAGCAAAATGGAACTCTCAAACTCTTTAAAGTAGATATTATCAAGTGAATGTATAACTACGCTTTCCTCAACTAGGTAAAATTCACTATCTGCAAGAGTAGTAGAGAAGAAACAGGACATGGGGCAGAGTTGAATTGTGTATTACTATCATTATTACTAAGAAAGAGCCGAACTGTAGTGATGAACCAGAGCCCCATGGTGCTAGGTCACCTCGGGGCACCCACAAATGACACAGAATCTGAAATGTTTAATTTTGGGTTTTTATATGAGTCACAGAAACAGTAGTCAGCCTTTTAAACACTTCTGTGTGCATGGGAATGCTCCAGGAAAGCCACTCCATTCCCATACCACATTCACCTCACTTAAATCAGCCTTCATCCAACACCAGCCATTTCTTCATGACCTACCCTCCACTGCATTTATTATTTTGCAATGTTTTGGGAAGAGTACAAATAAGAAAATATATTGTCATAATGGAAAAATAGAATCACATTTTTGCTAGAGGAGGACAGGCCACTAAAAAAATCTTCCTTCTATGGGATTCCTTAAAATTTTCGTTTTTCCATAAGCTTTTCAACTTCAAGCAACATGCATCTTTCTGGTCTAGAGGAGTTCATGGTTTGCAACAGTCCTCACAGAATTATTTTACACTGCAATACTACAGCACCATTTACCTGAGGCAATCCCTGGTGTGTCAGGCGGGGATGTTGTAGAGCAATCAACGTTTTCGTTGTTTTCCCCAAACTCTCTCTTATAGATAGACAGCATGTAGGATATTCTATAGTCCAGTCTAACACTGAGAATAAACTACAAGAAAAAACATTTTAAACATGACTTTTCTTCTGATGTTTGCTAATACGGGTTAGGATTTTTCTGTGGTGGAACCTACGGGGATACATGATTATTGAAAGTCCATTATTTTAAGTAAATATGTCCATTACAAAATAAAAAAATAGAAGAATCCATTACATTCATCAGTTTTCAGTGATTTCCTTCTTCACTCTGACCATGTTGAGACGTATTGAATTCCACCCTCTATCGACTGCTGAATACTAAGAAGCAGCCTGGATTTGTCCAGGGTCTCCAGCACACTGCCGTGCCCTCATTGCCTGTGAGCCACACCAGTAAATTCAAACCCATGTTGAAAACAGTTATTTTGTATTTTAGCTGGGCTTCTAAAGCCCCATGAAGTTAAGAAGTGGAGTGGGGCTGAGAAGGAAGACAGCAGGCTCACGGCTCACCCACTCAGATGTTAGACAGCCAAGCACAGTGGTACTGTGGTAACTCCAGGCTCCCATGGAGTGAAGCACAAGCATGGTCGGGTCTTTCATTACATTGGTAATTGCTTGCTGAGGACCTGAGCAGCAAATACCATTTTCTTCATAACCTTCCAATAGTGTTGCCAGCACACAGCAAAAATAAGAAGTTTGGTTTTGGAAGCTAGCACCGTAATGGTAACAGAGTTTCCCCTCACCCAACACTCTGCTTTCTTGTGATTATTGGTGCCTTTTCTTCCTCAGCTCAGAAACTCAGTGAAATCAGAAACTCATACGGGAAAAATCCTAATTCAAAGCTGGAAGTGTTGCTTTTATCTTGGAACAGTCAGGAAAATAGCTAGGCTGGAAACAGTAGCAATTTAATGGCTGACACATATACATCTGACACTTCAATAACTGACTGCCTATCCACTGAGTTTCAGTGTTTCCCACACTTACGCTCGTTGCCCACAGCAAATGCAAGCATACACTGAAACAGGTTTAAGGTAGTTTAACTTGTTTTTCAGTCAGTGGGGATGAAAGTACATATGTTAAGTTACCAAGACTTAGGTGACAGGTGATGACTTGGGAAATGGTGGCAACCTGTTTCTTTGATCTCTTAACTAGAGTCAGACAAGCTTCCCAGACCCAGAACACTGCAATAGGATTTGACTAAGACTACACCATCTAAATGCAACTAAAATGCCAGTTCAAGAAACAATATCTTTCCTTCAAAATCTTCAAAAAAAAAGGGGGGAAAAAAAAAAGCAGGTGGAAATTTCAGTTCCATGATCAAGTTACTCTATAATTGCAGAAACAAGATTTTTAAAAATAAAAATGTCCTAAGTCAACTAAGTCTATCAGGCCATCTGTTTAATTCTGGCTGGTGGCAGGATGAAAACTCTTAAATAAAAAATGCCTCTACTTAGAGAAATAAGAGGATATATTGAGAATTAAATTATTATAAACTGAATTATTTCTTAGAACAGAATAGCTTTAATCACCATTGTACTAGGTATGCATCATAATTCAACAAATCTAAAATATTCTTACTTGTCTTTTAGGATTATAGCACCGTAATGAAAGGTAATACTACTTAAATTAATCCTCCTTCATTGCATTGTAAAGCTAACTAAATTAGTTTGTATTTCTTGTGAACTAAATTCATATATATGCACATTTACTGTGATTCACCAAACATATGACAATTTGCTAATCTGCAGTAATTTGACTGTGTGATTAAACCATAACTAGCAAACCACAGATTAAGGAACAAATTAGGAGTAAATGCTCTGCAATCCCAGATGCTCTTGCACTGGACATGTGGTGAAAAAGGAAAGGATGATCCAAAATGTGATTTCCTTGCCTGTGAGCAGTCAGGGAATGCACAGGATGAGGTTGGTGTCCTAGAATCATCCAGTAGGCATCAACCAGTAAAGCAAGACAGTATGGAGAGAAAGTCAGTCAAGGAAAAAAAAAATGAAAATGAGAAACAATAGGCATTAATGGTATTATTTAGGTGATACAACTTCATAATACGCCATACTTCACCATAAGCCTTAAAGCAAAGAAACTCTGGAACCAAAGTATGCACTATTGAGGATACTCTAACAATTGATAGTCTTTCAGATGATGAGTAATTAAGGTAATTTAAATCATTTATAAGCAGTCAGAACAAATTGAATCCTCCAAAAGTGACAAGGGTACAAACAGATCCACAGAATTTATAGAAAACACAGGAACATTCCTTTAGGGCAAAAGTACTGCAGAAAGCACTGCAGAAACTGGGGCTTGATACATAGAAATATGTGTTCCACTTCGCTTACTAATAGCACAAAGTGAAAATTGTATCTCAGGAGGCATGCTAGTGCTATACAGCTTGTCAGTTCAGCTGGGAGAACTGTAGCAGCCCACAGACTATTCCCAATCTAGCGATGCCAATCTGAAACCACCTTCAAAAGTGCATGGCTTTGCATGACTGCAGTGGGCATAGGTCCAATTCTTCTCTTTATCAAACTATTGTAACAGAAGAGTCAAATACTAAAGTCAGGCAAGCTACCCCAGTGTAAAATGAGTGTTAATGAGACTAGAAACCGGCACAGTTTCCCCACACATTAGTGGGGCATAATAAAGGACAAGTTCTGTCTTTTCACAATTAATCGTGACGGTTTCAACAGCATCTACTTCCCTCAGAAGGTGTTAGCAGAATGAGGACCACAACTGTAAAATTGTTCACATAGAAGAGAATTCTCCCTCCTATCAGTATTATATTTAAAAAGAAAAGCCCAGTGAATAGTAGGAACGTAGGTAACAGAGCCTACCACTCTGTGAATAAGTAAAGAACTGTGAAATGACTACTATGTAATATTCTGCCAATTATTATTACCTGCAAAATCTCAATGATTTTCAGTTTGGTGTCCATTACAATCACATCTTCACTGTCTGAGGTGTTGGCCTGCTTGTTTGGGTGAACGCTTGGTTGTGCATCAGGGGCACTAATGGGAAATATAGATCCTCTGCTCAGCACCATCTGAGTCATCATCTCTCCTACACCATGGATGGTCCTCATAACATTGTTTCCTATGCATGAAACAAAAATGTGTGTATTTGTCATGAGTAAAGCTTGCTTGCAAAACTATGTATCACACATACACTCATGTGGTCAAACCCCTTTACAATCCTAACAGGCATAATGAAAAACAAGTCCCTCCATTCCTGATCAGAACTCAGAAGAAGGAATTCATTCAAATTACCCAATGGTTTAGGGACAAATTTTCTACATTGGTTTTCCAGATCCTTTCTTACAGGTCAGCAGATAGAAAACACCAAAATATTTCCACAGGTCTGTTAACATGTTCAAGAAATCATAAAATGTAGAGCATAAGAAATCTTAGTAGTTCACCTAATCCGTTCCTTTGTCTGAAGGCATATTATCTACATCTAAGACCAATTCCGTTTGTTTAACCTGTTTTTAAAACCACTTAAGCATTTATATTCCACATTATATAGCATCCCAAGGCAATTCCAGGACTTGACTATATATTATTGTTAGAAAACTTTTATTGGTATTTCATTTATTTCATCCATTGCTGCAATTTATGACCTTGCTCTGTGGACACATGGGAAGCTGGAAGGAGACTATCCAAATATCTTCTATGTCACAGTAAAAGAGAGTAAAGATTTGAGGCTGTGCAAGTCTGATCATTCTCTGTATGTGGTCCAAATGACAGGCCACAAACCAAAGCCAACTGACACAACTAGTCAACCAATCCCCTTCAAAAAGGTCTCAGGAGAATGTCAGGCCCTAAAGGCTGTCCTGAAGGTCAAACTAGTATCTATAATCACAGTGCTCTGCATACGTTATACCTGGGGGAAAAAAAGTATTTTACACTCATGTGGCAAGAAACTTTATCCAGAGTAGTTGCAATGATACCTGTGACTGGTGCCAGTCCAGCAAAACCTACCAAGATCATACTGGTCTTTCTTTATAGTGAACTTTGGTATGAAAAGCATCTCAGTGAATCAATTACTATCTTCTTCCAAAGACTGGAAAAAGAAAGAGTGAGAGAATCATGCTTCCTACCTACCTGACTTAGTTTTCTTTCTAGCAAAGTACAGATCTGAATGAATGGAAAAAAGGAAGGGAATGACAGCATCTCTTTGCAGAAACAATGCCAAGACCTAGACTACATCAAAGGCAAACAAAAGAATGGAGGAAATACAGCTTTGCTGAGGTAAACGTGAATAGTTCTTGTATGTCTTTTAGTACACTTCAGTCACCATGCAACTGACAAGTTTTACTCACATTGAAGAGACCCTCTTTCCAGATAATCTGCTGTAAAAAGCCAAAGCTGTATTTTATCGTATTAGCAATAACCTCCTCTTACGCCCTTCTTTCTCCAACCCATAGAACTCAAGTACTACATGCAGGGAAAGAATTAAAAGGAAAACACACAAAGAATTTGCTTGTTTAAAGTGAGTAAGAGATTAGTGTCACATTTGAGGTCCCGTTCGGCATCTGGTCTGGTGTGCAATCACTCTGAATTGGTCATCTGAAAATAGTACTTCAAGTCCCTACAAAGAGGGAAACAACCCGTATTACTGACTTTCCATGATGTCAAGAAAAAAAAATGCTAGATGTCAAACCAGGGTTTAGACCCTCACATTAGGCAGGCAGAGAGAGTTCCAACTGCTTATACCAGCATAAAGCAAATAAAATAATTTTGAATACCCTTCTTGCTGCAAAATGAAAATGGTGCATTTTCCTTCCAGATAAAATAAACCAGCTGGGGAATAACATAGTATAGATCTCTCTCTCTTCCCCTCCTTGCCCCTTTTCTTCTGGTGTGCTAAACATTTATTTGCATTGACCATCATTCAAGTACACCTGTATAAAGCTAGATTACTAAGTGGAGGACCTTCAAGCCTTAAAGTAGCTTCAGTTAAACTAAATTTTTGCATTTTCTTTGTCTTCAAGCCATGAAATAAATGCCCTCATTCATATCATCCTGACTTTATGCTGACTGGTAAGCCCATGACGAGACCTACAGGTTGTGCAGCTGCTTCATGACCTGCAATACCCCTACTTTACATCTCAGCTAAAAAGTCATCACCCTCTCTCTCACAACATCCCTTTCCTGCAGTTGTACAGAAGTGAATATAAATAGAGGCACTGCTATTTGGAAAGCTCAAGAATTTTTTATAAAACAGCTTAAGCCAATGGGGTTACCAGCTGATAGTGAAAACACTGAAGTCTAAGAGAAGTCCAGAAGATACTCTTCTCAAAAAATTGAGAAAACTGCAGTTTGTCCTAAATGAGAGACGAAGAATTCCACTTCATCTTGAAAAGTTTCTGCCCACCTTTCAAAACTAAAGTCCACTCAGTGTAAAGTTAACAAAAAAAGGTAGTGTCTTTTGGACAAGGAGTCAGACAACATCTTAGATGGACCTCATGCTCTGGGAGAAAGCAAGCTGGGATTTTGCTTAGAGCATGCCTCTCGCTTATTTCTCAGCTATCAGTGGGGTACTGCACATGCACTGAAGGGAGGGGGATTCAATTCCCTCTGTGACTGAGGAATTAGTCACCCTCTCTGCTTTTCAGGACCACCTCCATAAACGAGACTACTTTCTCCATCTCTAAAAAGGACAGTGAGAAGCCTAATATAACAAAGACTGGGAAGCTCTCAGCTAATGTGGTGACGGAGTCCACAAAAGCATCTAGGAAATAAAAAGAATTGGGATGATTGCTGTCCTTTTCCCCTACCCATACAACACTGGTGGTAAAAGATGGTACAAAACGGTGAGCAGTAGCTATGAAGCTACTTCCCACCAGCATCAGTAATAAGAATAATCCCTCTGTTCACAACAATCCTTTACTATTGACCTTCATGCAATTGATTTAAACAGCTATAGGCAGGAAAGTAAAGAAGGATTAAGGTGGCACTTATTATCACTGCCATTTCAAACTGTATTTCGTTATTGCATAGGAAAGGATTTTAGTGAGAGAAAAGGCTACTTAATGCAGCTTAGTATTTACAGCTGAAATGGTTAGTGACTCACTACTGCATATTTCAGTCAGTAACAAGGTGTCATGGGTAAACCCATATTGGAAAACTTTTTAACTGTCTGATGCTACTATTATTTTCAATTAACTCAGAGCAGACTTGGGGAAAATGTTGCCAGAGTGAAATACAGCAACTGGAGCAATTCAGCTTTCTTTTCAGGAATAATATTTTAACAGCTGTATTTTGAAGGGTGTTGATGAAATTCAACCATCTCTTAGGAGCAGACAGCAGACAACCAGCACATTCATGCATGGTAATGAAACAGCTGACTTCATCTCAACACTGGGAGGAAGTGCTCTTTTCTGCAAAAGAAGCCATAAGAATCATTCATGTACATAAAGAATGGGCAGCAGCTTGTCTTCCAGGAGAACCCCCAGTAACCAGCCCTCATTGTGCTCAGTGTTATCTGTCCAGCCTTGGAAGTCTAGACCATGTGCAGCATGGATTTAAATCTGTCACTCACATACATGAGGGGCCAGCAGCAGTCTTGCTAGTGAGTTGTTTCTTCTTGCTATGCTTTTGTATTCTCTTGGTTTTAATACAGTTATCTCATCAGGAAAGGGTATGAGTCTCTGAGGTAAGGCATGCAGAAAGGTTACTGCGGCTTAAAAAGTGACTGACTGCATGTCAGCTAAGCTTGCAACAATGCAAGACAAAATACACCTGCTCAATAAAAGAGACTTAAGTTCTTAGTACCTACACACAGAATGACTAAAATAACAGAGCTCTGATCTTAGTTACAGCTCAAAAATGCTTCCTGAATACCAATGCCCAAGGAAAACTTAACTTACTGCCTCAGCTAGTTAACCGAACTAAATGAGGAGAGATAGCAAATAGATGTGAACCCTGATTACTTTCGCATGGACTTTGCTAGAGATATCTGAAGAGAAGCCTGAGTTGTGCCTTCATATGGCACTGCCACCCTTAATGTGCTGACCACCAGCATTTGTTGTCTTCTTTAAGATCAAGGTATTAACATTTATATATGGCTGAGAAATGTGCCAGGGAGAGAATGGCCATTGCAATGTTGTACAGTGGCAGTGTGTGCAATCAACCACTTCTCTCACCAGCAAACCACTGCAAAGTTGCTCAGAACTATAACTGACCAACAGGGGACAAGAACATGAGACACTCTCCATGAATCTTCTTCCATTTTTCCAACTTTCCCTTCCTCATCCCAATTCTTCCCCCTGTCTCCTCCCTCTGCCAAGACAAGTCAGATGCAAAGACCCTTCCATAAGCAGTGAATCCATTAGGAATGCTTCCTGTTGAATGTATGGTCTCACAAGGTTAGGCAATGGAAGAGTGAAATCACTGAAACACAAGTGGTAATTTAAAGGAGCTGCAGACTGACAGGCACTGAAAGAAGAGGAAAGAAAAGAATGCCTGTCATGTTTTGAAAAGACAACTGTGCATCCCCTTTTCATTACTTGTTATTACAGTGATCACAACTTTCTAATGAATATCAGTTTCTGTCACAAAACTGTAGCACATAATCTCATACAATTTGGCACAATTCACAACACAGAGGCCTCTCTGAGAAGAAAGACTTTTCAGAGGAGTCAATTATGGGGAAAAAATAAACCCACCCAAGTAATCGAAACAGTGGGTAATTTGACACTTCATTTTCTACATAAACATATTTTCTTGATAAGTCATTTACTGGTTGCAAAAATTCTAAAAGCAGATTATAAAAGCAAACAACAATCTGTTATGTTATACAGTATGGATGGTAAGTGACAAAATACCATATTCAGAAAGAAAAACAACTGTCAAAGGCAGCTGGCAATTCAGGCCTTTTCTTCAAAATGTTCCTAGCCAATTGCTATGCAGCATCCACAGTTTGCCTTCCAGTACCCACAGCATTCCAGGTATCTCACAAGTAATGCAGAGAACCATGCAGTAGCTATATATTACCTGCCAGAAGCATTAAGCCTTACAGCTCTGTTTGTGGAAGAGGTATTAATATTTACAGGTTTTCTACAGAATTTGCTCATAAAAACTGCAGAACCCACC